GGGAAACCACTATACCGGGGCCCTTATAAAAATATAAGAATATAAAAAATATAAAAACGTCACTAAGCTGGTAATTAAATCAAAACAAGTGAACTTATTTTGATAGTTCTTCATCTAATGAATGAAATCCCGATAAAAGAGACATGTTTTCAGGAATTGCCGAAAAGTAATTTGACGTTAAAGTCGTAACAAAGGAATATGTCCGAGCCGCGGTCAGTGGCTCACCGGCACAGCAGTTCCAACTGCAAGCCGCGCCAGAAATAAAGAGTTAAAGTATATTCTGTCTTGTTGTAAAGAATTGCTGTTTATGGTGTGAATCATTGTGAGGAAGGACTCTTTTATTTAAGCAATGTCCTTCAAGCTAACACAGTGTGGTGTTGAGAAAATCTTGATTCTTTTTTTTACAAAATCAAAAAGGTTGCAAAGTAAATTTCCAACATAATTTGAATTCAAACCTTCAAGTCAAGTGTGAAAAACTTTTGCAACATTTTACCTTCTCAAAGAATACCACTTCTTTTTGTCCACAATTGCTTTGTGCTACCATTATTATTTCAATTGCAGAGAGATCAAATCTTTTGATTCATTCAAATGACAGCTGAAGTCATTTCTGTTTTTAAATTAATAAGATGAATATTCGGAGTAATTTTCTTTTAGTCAGAACACAACATTTTATGTTACTGTTGTACGTTGTACTGTATTGTGAAGCGCTCAGAGCCTGTGTACTTTAATCGGGGTTGAGTGCTATATAAATGTCATTTATTATTATTATTATTAATTGTGATTGATAACAAGTCCCTTTGATGACAAAGTACCGTCTGACCAAGCTTCTATCTCGTGGTGCCAGCCTTCTGTGTGTACCAGGGTGTGGCTTACAAGCAGGGCGACTCCTGGGACATCGGCTGTGACCAGACGTGTCGGTGCGAGGATGCTCCACGGAACTACTACACCTGTGCTGATAGGTACGACTTAATTATCTTTATATTTGAGGCATCGTGGTGAAATCAGACGCTCATCAAAATAATGAAATCGAAGAAATCTGTATTTTTCGGCCAGTTTGAAATTTTTTTTTAATTTTTGTTTTTTGGCTTTACACCTTATGTCCATTCAAAAACATTTTTATGTGTGGGTGTAATGGAAAAACGATTACATGTTTACAATTTTCAAGGACTCTTGAGCTATGGAAGTCACTAAACTTTAGCGCCATTTTCTTGCTATTTTTACTTCTGAAACAAGGCGACCCCACCTCCTTCAATCGCAAATACTTCGACTTCTATTCGAGACAAATATTTTTTTTTCATCAAAAGCTAGACAAATAAACAACCTTTACGATGATATCAATAACTCCATATACCTAAACATTGATGAGTGCCTGATTCCATCGTGTTGTGACACATATCGATTGCCATGAAATTATCTTAGCCTTCTTTTATCTATAATGCTTTCATTACTAGCGTTTGAATTTTTTCATAAAAAGAATAAATGGAATAATATATACATCTGTTCTAAGGTTATCCAGTGATTTAATGCTGAGCTTATGCCAAAGAGAAACCCTATTATTTTTTTACAAATGAAATGATGTCATCAAAAGCTTCATAGTTGCAAGTTGAATTGAAGTAAAACAACAACGAGCAAAGTTGACTTGTTACAGTTACATCACTTTGTTGGTTCATGGCTGGAAATCAACAATTTCACCTTCACCTTCACCTATCCCGTAGACTGGATGTCTGTCGGGGCGCTTTTGAAGATTTAGCCACCAGCTTCCTCCATTCCTTCCAGTCTTCAGCTTTCCTGAGCGTGTCTTTGAGTTCCAGGCCTGTCCATTCCTTGATGTTTTCCTCAAATTTCTTCTTCTACAATTTATTACTTAGGAAATAGAGCAATTGCTAGCCTTCCTTCCTCTCCGAATCAACAATTCTGATTGGGTTGGGGTTTTTTGTTGTTTGTTTGAGGGTTTTTTAAACGTCTTAACTGATTAGTTTTGTTCTGCATTGATTCTGTCTGTCTACAGAGAGGCACTGGAGTTGCCGTGTAGAATGTCATAAGACTAGAGAAATATCTAGTAGCATTGATTTATTTATTTGAAACATCTGAGGGGATGAGATGCAAAACCTGCTATCCGACATTTTGGAAAAAATTGAGATTTTTTGCTAATAATGCACATTGTTACCGGATATCAGATGCTCAAAGTGTTTTCGGCCAAAACCCAACACATACTTAAAAAAAGCCACAAAAATTATTTTTTTCGCATGTTCATGTGTACAGCAGCATTTAAAAAAGCTGATTTTCTCAAAAGTGCTAGAACGGATGTAGTCGGTTTTACCTCTCAGCTCCTCATCTGTTTCTTCTATAAATTACTGCATTGTTTCAGGTGCCGCACATTCACCAACATTGCCGCGGGCTGTCGCAAAGTGATTGACCCTAAGGACTCTTGCTGTATGGCCCTTGTGTGTGTGCCTGACCCAGGCCTGACCCCGACCCCGTACCCCGTTAACGTGCCCGGGGTCACGCCGCTTGCCCCCAATCAGATTCCCACAGCTGTGCCAGGAACCATTGTGGGGAAACCCGGGCCTGGAGCACCTCCTGATATCAGTAAGTGTAACGAGATCACTGGTTGTTACCTACACACGTTAGGTCACGAAGAGATGCTTCCTGCCTCCTAAATCCTCTTGCAAGAACTTTCACAGTCCTCTAAAATTAATCACCGGCCGGTGTCTAACCACAACCTTCTCACCACTAGGTACAAAGTACTCACTGCCGCAATCCCGCTTCTTGCAAGAGTGAGTTCTCGCTCAAACTTTCTTACACACCACAAAATGTCAACATAATACGCACATTGCCCAATTGTCCAAAAACAACCTACAGAACGAATTTGAATGGACCGATTCTTTTTACAACCTTATTATTATGTCTTCTAAATGTGTATGTGGGTCTTGTCAGTTAGATTTATAAATCTGCTTGAGACCAGGGAGTCTGTGGTGTAACAGCTGGCTTGCTGTTGTTGCAAGTAACAGATGTGAGTTTATCTAAAATGGGGAAGTTATTTAGTTTTGTTTTAGTAAGAGTTTTATGGCACTTGCAGCACAATAAGATCATGTAAGTGCCGAAGATTAGAGGTGTTACGAGAGAGTAACAAACATAAAAAAGCAGGAGGGGAGATAAGGACGATAGATGTTTGATAGGAAAGAAGGAGCAAACCACTCCAGAGCACCCGCCAACCACACACAGTTATTTTGTTGTGTACATTCGAAATTGCCCAAGACAACTACCCATTGTCAAAGAGAACAGCAGTTCTCTCAGACAGGTAGACATCTTGGACTGTGTCGATAGTATAAATGACATGCAAGTGGGAAGTGAAAAGTAGTCATTTGTACAAGTGATTATCTTGGACAAGTGGTCCTTGGAACAGGTTGGACTGTTTCTCTATCCATATGTTGGGATGTTATCAGTTTCATCCTAAAAGACAGGATGGAAGCAGCCCATCTCCTGAACGAGTTAAAAACTATCATGATATCAGAGCCTTTTCAGCTCTTTATTTATTATGAAGCAGCATGGTGAAATCAGGCGCTCGTCAAAATAACAAAATCGGAGAAACAGGCATTTTTACGGCAGTTAGGAAATTTTTATCGAATTTTTATTTTTTGGCATAACCTCTATTATGTCTATATAAAAACACATTTCCATGTGAATTTTACTGAAAATCATAGACTAAAGGCACAAAGTATGTCATTTTTCATTTTTCAAAGACTCTTTAGCTGTTGCAGAAACCAAACTATATCGGCCATTTTCAAGCTCATTTCACCACCGAAACCAGGCGACTTCACTATCTTCAATTGCAAATTTTTAAAGTTCAATTCATGATAAATGGATACTTATTTTATTTGAAACAAGGCAAATAAATCAGCTTTCATATGATACCAATAACTCCACCTGCCCAAAAATTGAGGAGCTTCTGATTCCACCACGTCGTGACACATCTAAATTCGGTGTCCCCAAAAAATTGTACTTTAAGCTTTAAATGGTCTCTTTTCCCAAATGTTTACACTAAACCCTTTGAACCCAGCCTGCAACAGATGTTTGCAGGTAAAGGGATCTTCGTATAATTTTTCTTAATTTACATTGCGTGTGTGTGTGTGTGTTTAGGGGGCTGTTATTCCGTTTTATCTGTGGTCAGTTTCTTGTTTGAAAGGTAAATACGGACACAAGAGAATTTTTATGAAGTTGCGTATTGATTTGATGATAACGAATGAGCATTTTAGAAAATAAAGGTCGTTATTTACATTTATCAACAATTTGTTCCATTCCTCAGCTGGCTGTGTTCATAATGGTGTCGAGTACAAAACCAGGGAAAAGTGGCAAGATGGCTGTAACTATGTTTGTGAATGTTTAGATGACAGAACAGGCCAGTACAAATGCACTGACAGGTATTTCAAAAATGTATATTAAATACAAATTTTGTTATCTGTTTTGTGGTAAAAGAATGAATTTCAAAACACTCTTGAATGACACCTTTGTTGAGATGTTTGTATTATTATTTTTGTTTTTTGGAATCTCACATGTCCTTTTAGGTCATTGTACATTGTGAGGATGGCATGGTTCACTTACACTACTCCAGTAAAAATTACCAAAAATTAGAGAGACAGACAGACACATCAGAGCACTCATATGACCATATGCAGTTGTGAACACTGTTAAACTTTTACTAACACTAAACAGACACAGTTTTTATACCCAAGACCCTTTAACTGCCCAGCACTTTGTGACCTGCGTAGCACCTACCTACCTGCCTCCCCAGACATCGGAAATACTCTATACAGCGACAAAGCACAGCTGATTAAAACCTGCAAATTTTTTGCCCTATCGACAGACCGAAGGGCTAGAACCCAAATGGCCGCTGGGTCGGAAAAGTAAAGTAAAAGTATACCCAAGACCCCATGTTCCCCGAATCCCTAGATCTTGAGACAATGGGAGAACTGCTCAGGGACAGGTTACAATGAAAGGGAAATAGATCCTGACTGATAATGGACAAGCAACTGTGGTGGATTATGTCCCATATCATTGCATTCATGGAAGATAGAAGGGAATTGTATGTTAGAATATGTAGTGAATACACCCACATCTACTCTGTTCAACACACTCTGTACCGCTTCCACTTCTTCTGTGCAGTTCCAGAGATGTTTTCTTTTCCATTATCCTTTCACTTTCTTCTTTTTCTCCAATGCCAGTCTATTCATGTGAGCTCTATTGCTATATTTTAAAATATGTTATCATTAGTTTCATTATTATTTTATAATTATTAACTTGTATAAACATTTGTTCAGTAGCTGCAGTGATGAGCATCCATAGAAGGAATTCCTGTCATCATCTTTTTGTCAGAACACAACATTTTATTTTACTATTGTACGTTGTACTGTATTGTAAAATGCTCAGAGCGTGCTCATATGACCTTACGCAGTTGCGAGTGCCGTAACACCCTATACTACTACTACTACTACTACTACTACAAAGTGCTCAGAGCCTGTGTACTTTAATAGGGGTTGAGCGCTATATAAATGTCATTTATTATTATTAT